GATGGAAGGATGGAAGGATGAATGGAAGGATGGAAGGTCAGATGGAAGGATGGAAGGATGGAAGGATGAATGGAAGGAAGGATAGATGGAAGGATAGAAGGACTGATGGAAGGAAGGATGGATGGATGGAGGGGAAGGGAAAGAGAAATGCCATGTTAGTCACACATGAGCGTGACTCAGCCTGTAGGAGCTGTTTCTCAAGCTTGGATCACACAACACACACTACGCTCCTTTGTGCCCTCGACATGGCACATGTTCTCCATGGCAGTTTAGGCTGCCTTAAATTTTCACAGTTTTATGATTGCAAAGATGTTTGATAAAGATGATTATCCAAGTACATCTCAACACTATATTTAAGTGTATCTTTGTGCCTATTATGACATGTCCTTAAGATAACTTCCTAAAAAGGAAATGTCTGGGTCAAAAGATAAGACTTTCAAGCTTTTAATATAAAATGCCAGAAGTCCTCAAGAAACTTGGCACCAATTATATTTCTACCAGCTGAACATAAATATCTCACTTGGAAACATACCTGCTGGCCATATTTCTCCTTCATTACAGAACCAAGTCTTTCACAAGGCCTGGCGGCCCAGCCTTTCAGTGACCCTGGCCAGCTCTGATGCCCATGACAGCCTCAGCTCTCCTGCACAGTGTGTTTTCTTAGGTAACCAGCACCGGCTGCTCTGTGAGGAATCCAGCCCTCAGCTGACGCACAGGGGGAGCAGCCTGGCCTGACTCTCTGGCTGACAGCTGTGCAGGACCCTTCTACCTTAAGAAAGCACAGGCACAGATGTTGAAATTCTCCCCCAAAGACAAACACATACATTTTGGTCAAAGACTTTGGTGTTGCATCTTGAAAAAAGACACAACAGAAGACAGTGGGAAAGTTTTCTGAACTGACTGGTGTGCCTCTGGATTTGGGGTTTGCCAGATGGCAAAGTCGTAAGGGTGGTGGATCACCTGCTCTCTGCGACATTTCCCAGCATGTGAGAGAATGAGAACACAGCCTCTACAGAAGTCTATCACAAAGAAAAGCAAATATTGGTTCAAAGTTTGTGGCAGATAAGGGGCTCGTCTGCAGGATATGTGAAGAACTCTTATAATTTATCTATAAAAGGACAAATAACTCAAATTAAAAATGGGCACAGGATTTGAAGACCTTCCTCTAAGGAAGATATACACATGGCCAATATGCACAAGAAAAGATGCTCGAGGTCTTTAATCGTCAGGGAAATGCAAATCCAGAGACCGGTTCACAACACACAGGGGTGGCCATAAGAAAAAGATGGATGAGAATCAGCCAGACTGCAGAGAACACAGCCCTCGGTGCAGCTCCTGGGAACGTGACTGCTCCAGCCTGGTCACCCTGGAGGAACTCTGCCAGCTCCTCAGACACCAAAGCAAGTCTGCTCCCAGGAAAACGGGAAACCTATGTCCACCCATAAATACATAATATGTTATTATTCATCATTTGTCAAGGAAAAACAAATGAATGGGGAGAAAAAAGAAAACCTGTGCCCACACAAAACTTGGACACAAATGTTCACAGCAGCATTATTCACACTAGTCAGAAAGTAGAAGCGTCCCAAATGCCCACCCACTGACAAAGGGGCTAACACAGTGGGCGTGTCCACACACAGGAGGCAAACACAGTGGGGCGTCCACACAGGAGGCAAAGACAGTGGGTGCGTCCACACAGGAGGCAAACACAGTGGGGCATCCACACAGGAGGCAAAGACAGTGGGTGCGTCCACACAGGAGGCAAACACAGTGGGGCATCCACACAGGAGGCAAAGACAGTGGGTGCATCCACACAGGAGGCAAACACAGTGGGTGCATCCACACAGGAGGCAAACACAGTGGGTGCGTCCACACAGGAGGCAAACACAGTGGGTGCGTCCACACAGGAGGCAAACACAGTGGGGCGTCCACACAGGAGGCAAAGACAGTGGGTGCGTCCACACAGGAGGCAAACACAGTGGGGCATCCACACACAGGAGGCAAACACAGTGGGGCATCCACACACAGGAGGCAAACACAGTGGGGCATCCACACAGG